TGATTCGTGATACGCGCTCCAAAGTTCTGATCTGAATTAAATGATTCGTGATACGCGCTCCAAAGTTCTGATCTGAATTAAATGATTCGTGATACGCGCTCCAAAGTTCTGATCTGAATTAAATGATTCGTGATACGCGCTCCAAAGTTCTGATCTGAATTAAATGATTCGTGATACGCGCTCCAAAGTTCTGATCTGAATTAAATGATTCGTGATACGCGCTCCAAAGTTCTGATCTGAATTAAATGATTCGTGATACGCGCTCCAAAGTTCTGATCTGAATTAAATGATTCGTGATACGCGCTCCAAAGTTCTGATCTGAATTAAATGATTCGTGATACGCGCTCCAAAGTTCTGATCTGAATTAAATGATTCGTGATACGCGCTCCAAAGTTCTGATCTGAATTAAATGATTCGTGATACGCGCTCCAAAGTTCTGATCTGAATTAAATGATTCGTGATACGCGCTCCAAAGTTCTGATCTGAATTAAATGATTCGTGATACGCGCTCCAAAGTTCTGATCTGAATTAAATGATTCGTGATACGCGCTCCAAAGTTCTGATCTGAATTAAATGATTCGTGATACGCGCTCCAAAGTTCTGATCTGAATTAAATGATTCGTGATACGCGCTCCGAAGTTCTGATCTGAATCAAATGATTCGTGATACGTGCTCCAAAGCTCCACTGAATCAAATGATTCGTGAAACGCGCTCCGAAGTTCTGATCTGAATCAAATGATTCGTGAAACGCGCTCCGAAGTTCTGATCTGAATCAAATGATTCGTGAAACGCGCTCCGAAGTTCTGATCTGAATCAAATGATTCGTGATACGTGCTCCGAAGTTCTGATCTGAATTAAATGATTCGTGATACGTGCTCCGAAGTTCTGATCTGAATTAAATGATTCGTGATACGTGCTCCGAAGTTCTGATCTGAATTAAATGATTCGTGATACGTGCTCCGAAGTTCTGATCTGAATCAAATGATTCGTGATATGCACTCCGAAGTTCTGATCTGAATCAAATGATTCGTGATACGTACTTTGAAGTCCCAGTATGAATCCAATGATTCGCAATATGCGATCAGATCACTGCATGTTTTTTAAAATCATCAAGCGGTCAAAATTCGAAAATGAATAGCTCTTTTGAACTGTTTTTTGCTGGTGAATCGTTTGAACTGAATGATCAAAGTCAAAAAGTTTAATTTGAATCGGAGAGGTCCCAGCTTAACTCAAATGAATCGGTTTGTCTGTTTCAGCGCTTTTCGCTCAGTCAGCCATGTTTATTCGACACTGTACAGTTACTACTGGCTCAGCTCGCTGGTTTTATGAGATTAATTGAAAAAACTGTAAAAAACTATTGTTTACAAATAAAATATTCCATTTCCACATTGAAACATCCAACACTATGAACATATTCGGGTGAGGTAAGCGGTGCTAACTAGTGAAACACTCCATTAATATGATGAGCTGCATCTCAAAATACATGTTAGATGGAAACATTATGATGGAGTTTCTAGCTTAATTCACTATTTTTGAAATAGTTTGAGCTGCAGTTCATGCAGTTGCTGACAGTTCAATGGGAAATCAGTTGAAAGCATCCAGTCACTCAGACCATTGAAGTGAATGTTTAATTTATCAGTATATATTGTAATAAATATTCATGAATTTATTGTAGTATCTGATTGTATTAGTCTATATAGAGTGATAGTCAATGTAAAAAGAGCAAATGGGAGAAGCAGCTAAATGAACACCAATTCTTCATGTAGTACAGTAACAAAAGTTCAAATGCAAGTACTTTTATTGAGTTTCACTAGATTCATTACACAAATAGTGATATTCCAATATTAACAAGTCAAAGTAGAATGTTGTCTCGTCGCATTTTCCCATAATAATCACAAAAAGTAAATCATAAAAACTCCCCTCGAAGGGCTCATGAAGCAGATACATTCAGTGAAAAACACAAGTGCTTAGCTATACAACAGCTTATTTATATATACATTATATATACTTATATACAACAGCCCACTGCTCCGGGTGTGTGTTCACGGTGTGTGTGTGCACTTTGGATGGATAAATGCAGAGCACTAATTCCGAGTATGGGTCACCATACTTGGCCACATGTCATGTCACTTTCACTTACAACATCATATCTTTATAAATATAAAAAGTCCCGGTATATTCCTCTTTCCACTCTCTCTTGCGCACAACTGAACGCGCAAAACCTCCCGAGAGCACATGCGCACTACCTAGTGCACTACCCTAGCAATAACCAGGGCCGGACTTACAGTTGAGGTTAAAAGTTTACATCCCCTTTCAGAATCCGCAAAATGTTAATTTACCAAAATAAGAGGGATCATACAAAATGCATGTTATTGTTTATTTAGTACTGACCTGAATAAGATATTTCACATAAAAGATGTTTACATAGAGTCCACAAGAGAAAATAATAGTTGAACTTATAAAATGACCCCGTTCAAAAGTTTACATCCCCTTGATTCTTAATATTGTGTTGTTATCTGAATGATCCACAGCTGTGTTTTTAGTTTAGTGATAGTTGTTCATGAGTCCCTTGTTTGTCCTGAACAGTTAAACTGCCTGCTGTTCTTCAGAAAAATCCACAAATTCTTTGGTTTTTCAGCATTTTTGTGTATTTGAACCCTTTCCAACAATGACTGTATAAGTTTGAGATCCATCTTTTCACACTGAGGACAACTGAGGGACTCATATGCAACTATTACAGAAGGTTCAAACGCTCGCTGATGCTCCAGAAGGAAAAACCATGCATTAAGAGCAGGGGGTGAAAACTTTTGAACAGAATGGAGATGTGTAGCCTACATTTTTCTTATTTTGCCTAAATATATTTTTGCATTTAGTACTGCCCTTCAGAGGCTACAGAAGATAGTTACATGTTTTCCAGAAGACAAAATAAGTTAAATTTACCCTGATCTTCAAATTCAAAAAGTTTTCACCCTTTTATGCATGGGTTCTCTTCTCTTGTGGACTGTATGTAAACATCTTTTGTGTGAAATATCTTATTCAGGTCAGTACTAAATAAACAATAACACGCATTTTGGTAAAATAATAAACATTTGGCAGATTCTGAAAGGGGGGTGTAAACTTTTGACCTCAACTGTAGTGATTTGGGGGCCATTAGCAAATTTCAGGTATATGGGTCCCTAACACAATAACTATGTGCTTTTTACAAACCCTTATTTTGCTTGTACTCTCTCTTATAGTTTACAGTTTATTTACCCTTTTACAACTTAAGTAAATAATTGATTCAACCTGATGCTCTTCTAAAGCCATATTAGGCTATACCTTTTTTCTTTCGGATCACAAATGTAGACATTCTAAAAAAATAAATGCTTGCACTTTAGCCTTCTTCAACCATTTTACAAAAAGGTTTCAAATGTCATAAAATTATCCCATGCAACTCATTCCGTATTCCAAGTGTTCTGAAGGCACAGGCTACAGTAAGGTTTGCCAAGAAACAAATTGAAAATGTAATCTAATATTAAGCGAAAATCTCCATTGCATTCGTGCATTTGTATGAGTGTGCAGCAGTTCGCATCGGCGAAACACAATACTTTCTTCTCTGAAGTTAGTATATCCGTTCTGAGACAGTCAGGATTTTACAACCTAGAAAGTGTGCAAAGAGCACTCCCTCTATAATCTCTATCGCGATCTCACTATGTTCCGTTAATCAGTGAAGCTCTCTACACTGCACAATGAATCTCTTAATTACATCATATCTACACATTGTTATAATGAGAGGATTCGCGAGCAAACTTTCAAATAACTTTATATTTCAGGTGAAAATAAAAGTTAGCAGAATGTTGTAAGAAATGTTTTTGTAGTCTTTAAATAATGTTAATCACAACAAGAAAACTGGACATTTAAACGTTCACAGAATATTAAAAATAAATGTTTAAATAACTTAAGGTGAAAATAAAGTTAGCAGAATGTTGTAAGAAACATTTTTGTAACCTTTAAATAATGTTAGAATCATGACAAGAAAACCGGATTTTAAATGTTTCAGAAACATTTCAAAACAATGTTCCCACAAAGTTTTTAGAACCTAAATTCATTACCAGGGTTTAAACTACTTGTTTCAGAATGTTAAGAGAATATTCAAAAGTAACACTCCCATAACGTTTGCAAAAAAAATTTCATTCACAACTTTCAAATAACCAGGATTTAAAAATATATATATATTTAAATACTTAAAATCTGGACGTTTAGAGAACATTCAGAAATAACATTTTCATAACTTAAAGCTGCAGTCCGTAACTTTTGTTTTGGTTAAAATTATTAAAAAAATCTAATTTTGAGCAAGTACATAACCAGCCAGTGTTCAAACCTATCTCTGCCCGATTCACAACGGTTAGCTTATACTAATGTTGTCTAATTTGAATTGGCGGGAAATTCGAGCATGCCGCTGCATCATTACGTCACATCTATATCGCATCTGAGGATCCTGCAGGTGGCGGATCGTTTATAACCTTTTCTCAGAGCAGCTGGAATAATTAAATTTATCACTTTGATGGCGGATTGTAATCCAAAAAGGTTTATGTGTTTATGAAACACAAGTGACTGAAATTAGAATATATTCCCGTTTTAAATGTGCATATGATTACAGATAGCCTAAGTGGGATTACAAAAGAACCGGTTCTAAGGAAGAATAATTAGCTTTTTGGGTTAAAATAATTTTTTTGTATGAAATTCAAATTGTATGACAATTAGAGATTAGACTGTGCAGAAATTGAAATCTACATGTAATGCTAATACACACTACATACATGTAGTCACGCAATGCTGATGTTAACGAACAATTTGAGAACAAAGTATAGCAATAATAATCATTTGCACGGTTTGATGTGATATGAGCTAACCGATCGTTAGATTTAATCACCATTGGTAGCACAATTTATTGTAATGCTTTTTTTCCTCAGTTGGTCAGAACAAAAGTGGCAGATTTGTTACTTGCTTGTTCAGATGGCAATATCCAGTGAAAATTCTTATTTGGGTTATATTCCAAGACGTAGGCTAGAATCTGTGATTCCCGAAGTACAGGATCCACACCAGTGCGGTGACTGACTGCCAAACATACTTCTCAAAACATTAGATTCATCCGCGCTGGAGCCGAACCCACGTAAAGAAGATAATTGTGCAAATAACAGCAATTGCAGGTTTCAAACAGAGATGGCGACAAAGAGGCAAAACGTACAGTCTGCAGCTTTAATATGAATGTTAGCAAACCGTTCTTAGAACATGTGTGTTAGCTGGGAGTGCTGTGTAGTGTTGGTGATATTGTGTGCGCATGTTGAGACAGACGCTCATATTTCCGTGGACTCGAGCACGTCGCAGCTCTTGGAGCAGACGCTGCCGTTGCTCTGGCCGTTGAGTACGTGCTCAGTGCCGCTGGTGTTGGCGGGGCCGTGCTCGAGGCCGATGGTGACGCGGCTGGTCTCGGTGATGGACAAGTTTGTGTGGTAGTTACAGTGAGAGTCAGTGGTCACCAGACGCCGGCACATCCACTGACCGCGATACTGTGCAAACTTACGCCGCAGCGCAGACTGCACCTGCGGGAACACGCGTCAGCATTTCAGATCAGTTGTCTTCATTTACATTGCTAAGAACTTCATTTGGACAACTTTAAAGATGATTTTCTCAATATTTTGATTATGCAACAAGAAAAATTTCAGATAGTAATATTAGACATTACTGTCACATGAAATTATGCATCCTGTTGTTATTTCGGAAATAAACACAGGGAGGAAAATATTATTATTTTGCATTTTAAATCGAATTTTGTGTAAAAATGTCTAACAATTTTGTATAGTCTGATTAAATAATTACAAGAAAAAAAGTTCAAAATCAATGTTAATATTACTTCTGGTTTATGCTGCACAGTAAGCCACAACAATCCTCAAGTTTATGCTCATCTAAAGTGCTTTAATAAAGATTAATGAGGTATTAATGATTAATTAATGAAATAATGAAGTCATACCTCTCCATTACAGAAGCAGAAGATTACAGCCACCAGGAGACCCTGCAGAAACACAAACTCTCAGTAAAACACACTGTAAGACCAGCTTATTATTGCTAACTAAAATCAAAACCATTAGAAAGATTTTTGGAATTTGAAATAAAATTAACTTTAACTGAATATGAAAGACCATTAAATTGAAAAGTGCCATTGAATACAAAAATAAAAAAGGTAACTGAAACTTTCCATCTCACAATTCTGACTTTTTTCTCACAATTATGATTCTATATACAAGTAAACATCGGAATTATGAGATAAAATGTAAGAATGTGAAGAGAATTGTGAGATAAGCCATATATACAGTATATTCACCTGATCAAAAAGTTCTTCATGACAATAACAGATAAATATATCTCTTTAATTTATCTTCCATTTATACAAAAACTATTTACAAAAGAAAGGGGATGTGGATGCAATATTTATAAATAAACATGAAACATAGGTTCTATAACAAACAAACATTCGGTTCAATAGGAGTTATATACTGACCAAAAGTCAACAAATATATATTTTTTTGGTAATTCACACAGAATGTAATTTTCGCCATCGTAAACATACTTTTTGCAATGTTAATCCAATCCTGTATTTGTGGTGGATTAGGTTTATACCAGCATCTAGTAATAGCTTTTTTACTTGAAGCAAGAATTATTTGTGTCCCTGGAGCACAAAAGCAGTGTTAAGTCGCTGGGGGATATTTGTAGCAATAGCCAACAATACATTGTATGGGTCAAAATTATAGATTTTTATTTTATGCCAAAAATCATTAGGATATTAAGTAAATATCATGTTCCATGAAGATATTTTGTAAATGTCCTACCATAAATATATCAAAACTCAATGTTTGATTAGTAATATGCATCGCTAAGAACTTCATTTGAACAACTTTAAAGATGATTTTCTCAATATTTAGATTTTTTTGCACCCTCAGTTTCCAGATTTTCATGTAAAGTACCTCAAAACTAAAATCAACTGCAGTGTTTAAAATCTTTTCTAATACGCTATGTATACCTTTCCAAAAACTTGTGATATTAGGACATCCCCAAAATATGTGAAAATGGTTAGCATCCTGTGAGCTGCAATGTCTCCAAAAATTGCCTACCCTTACGAAAAAGAAGTTTATTCAAGTGTGCAATTAGTATACTAAAATAGGAAAGTATACTTTCAGTCTACTTTTTATGTACTTCTCAGACATGGGCTTTACGTACTTCTCAGAAATATAATTAAAATTATATTTAAGTATACTTGACTTATACTTAGAAAAAGTCTAAATATATTTGAGCTATACTTGTGCTCCGAGAATCTGTGTTTTCATTGTTATACTGTAGGGGGCGCTAGTACACATCTTCTGTGCAGAATTTCCAAAAAAAACACAAGTGAAGAAGAAACCGAAACAACAGATGCTTCCACATGTAATCTAACACGATCATCAGACATAAAACAGCATCAAAACTGTGCAACGTTATGGAATAAAAGACCAATGAAGAGCTTTGGGGAGTTGATCGACTCCATCTACGTTTTGATTATCATTCTGAATCCAATTAATAGTCTTTTTTCAGCTTTTTGTTCAAAATGTTGTTTATTTCTTCTTTTTTTATGAAACTTACCCACATTCAAGTGTTTAATAAAAAAGAATGCATGAAGCTAGAATCAAATGTTTTTGTTTACAAGCAGATACCCTGTTCTTTTGACGTTTTGTACGTTCAGATATTCACATAAAAACAAAATATGTACAAATGAATACCTAAATAGGGACATAGTAGTATACTTAAAGTATGATGTAAAGTTCACTTAAAGAAAACTTACGAGTATACTTCCAGTATAAAACTACTAAACTAGTAGTTTACTGAGACTATACTTCAAAGTGTACTACAAGTATTTAATTAGCAAACTATCAGTATACCTATTATTTCACTTTTAGTATAGTTGCAGTACAAACTAAAAACATAGATGTAAACTAGTTGTGTACTCATAGTTTACTACTGTTATACTTAAAATTATACTTTTATGTACTAGAAAGTGGGCCAATTTAGTCCCAAGGAGTATTGAAATAGTACACTTACAAGTATACTACAAGTACACTGATATTTGTATACTTACTACACAAAGTATACTTGAACTTTACTTAAGTATACTTAATAAAATAAACTTGAAGTATACTACTTTTTGGTAAGGGTATACATTTATTTTTCTGTTTTGGAGTAAGGAAAAACCGAACAGTATTTCTCCAGCAAAATTTTCTCCAATATGAAGAACGGGAAGTTGCATCCATTGTAGTTTACATATGTTTTCCCAATCCTCAGTTTAGATAATAATACCACTTTCTTTCTCCCATCTCTCCTTAATGTACAGAGATGAATGAATCTCCCTGTAAATTCAATGCTCTGTATAGTTTAGTAATAGTCTTCAACATTGGTTCAGCTGAGGAGAATATTTGATCTAGAGCACTCTTATTTGGATCTCAGTATTCCTATCAGTGTTGTATAAAGTTGTATTTTTTTATGCATAATAGAATGTGATCAAATAGTTTAAAATAGCTGGGCTAAGATATATAATAAATTATTTTGACTGCAGAAATATGTTATTTCAGTGCACACATTATCCCACCGGTCACAATTGTGACCGACCATAAAACATAAAAGAAATTTCACACACTTTGCCAAAAAAATGTCAAATAATAATAGTTGATTATTTCAAAGGGTCACTAATGACACATCATTTGGATATTTTCATCTCTGGGACAGATTTGGGATTAAACGGGTTAATAACACTTAAATAACACTGCTGTACAGTCACACAGGTCTCAAAGAAATGCAAAACATTTCAAATGCAATATCAGCACTTTTTATGCTAGTGATATTAAAAAAATAGTGGAATGTGCTCAAGCAGGCGTTTATTTAATTAGCTAGAGAGACAAAACGCCTCATGGGCTGATTTTACACATCTGTAATGTGCTTTTGACTGACTCAGTTGAGTTCATCACCTGGAAATGGGCGAAGACGTTCATGAAGAACTCGTAGATGACCCGAGAGACGCGTCCGCTGGGCCCCAGCGGCACCAGGATGAACTGAGCACCCAGTAGAGGAACCAGGATGATGGTGGCGCGAACCGCCTTCATGTAGACGTTAGTCTCGATGCAGTGAGTGACCCGCAGTTTGGTGATCAACACCCGCACGATGTTCAGCAGGAAGAACAGGTTCACCTGTCAGGAGAAGAGAGAGATTACAGACTGAAGATCGCTGTCGGGGGAAATGCATTACAAGTAACAACACTTAGAATCTAGTTTTTGAACAGTAAGATATTTCTGCTGGTCATATATTCCCTATATAACCATGTATGTGACAAATAAAAATCTTGAATCTTCATGTTTTTTGAAGAATACTTTTCTGCTCACGAAGCCTGCATTTATTTGATCCAGAATACAGCAAACGCGGTAAAATTGTGAAATATTTTTACTATTTAAAATAACTGCTTACCATTTGAATATCTGTTCAAATGTAATTTATTTCTGTGATCAAAGCTGAATTTTCAGTCTTCAGTGTCACATGATCCTTCAGAAAACATTCTGATATGCTGACTTGCTGCTCGAGAAACATTTTTAATTATTATTATCATCAATATTTAAAACAGTTGAGTACATTTTTTTTTCAGGATTCTTTGATGAACAGAAAGATCCAAAGATCAGCATTTATCTGAAATAAACAGCTTTTCAAACATTATAAACTATACCATTCAAAAGCTTGGAGTCACTATATATATATATATATATATATATATATAGATAGATAGATAGATTATATATATATACATGTGTATATATATAT